AACTCCCATTCTAGCACCATCCTGGCATTGCAGGTCAAAACGAGATATGCCTGGAAAACTCTAGGATGATCTAGGCTCACAATAAGAAGTAAATCATAGCAAAAATGATGCAATACATTATACAAAATTCTGACATAGGTCACACATCAATATATACAAGAAAATCTCCCCAAACTTCCATAATAACTGCTTCTTGGAATAGAAAACAATCAGAATGCCCAGTTCACAAAATTATAATAGTTAATTATTCCTCGGCATAACACTGCCCCAATGCAACTATTCACTATACAGTAGATCCTTGCCATTCGCCAGTTTAAGATTCATGATCCTCACGATTCGCGGTAAGCAAATGGTGAGCCTTTTCCTGCAGCACAAAAGTCACCCAGCACAGCATCTTGTGTTGTACTCTCAAAACTTTAGTGTTTCTGTGTCTAATGGCCCCTAAAAGACTGCCTAGTGTCAGAGCTATTGATGCTAGTGGAGTGAAATGTAAAAGGCAAAAGTCAGTAATGACCATCAGCACATACAACCACGCGGTCGGGACCAAAATTTTTTTCAAATGACGAGCGCATTTTCTATACCGAAACGTTTCCGTCCCGTACAAGAGCGTGGCGTGGCTTGGGTCACCGTGTGGGTACAGCTCCCACGCAGTAGAGCGTTTGGCTGTCATATCCTATACTGATCTCGCTGTGTATTGACATTATTTTCGTATTTAATTGATTTTATAATGACTGGAAAGCATACAAGTAAGAGTGCTGGTAGTGCTCAGAAGAAATGGAGACAGTCAATTACGTTTGAGACGAAAATGAAGATAATAATGCAGTATGAAAACGGAACTGTAGCAACAATCTCACGCGACCTAGGGTTTTCGCACTCGACCATATCCACTATTCTGAAGGACAAGGAACGTATTCGTGATGTAGTAAAAGGATCAGTACCTATAAAAGGAACTATAATTACGAAGAAAAGACAAGGTCCATTCACGTTATGGAAAAATTATTGGTGATATGGATAGAAGACCAAATACAGAAGCTTTTACCCTTAAGCCTTCTAACCTTACGGTCTAAGGCAAGAAGCCTGTTCGAAAGCCTGAGGGAGCAGGCAGGAAATGAGTGCGACCAAACCTTCACAGCAAGTCATGGGTGGTTTAACAGATTTAAGAACCGCTACAGTTTACATAATGTAAAGGTGAGTGGAGAGGCAGCTAGTGCTGATGTTGGTGCTGCCGAAGCTTTTAAGGAGGAGTTAGATCGTGTGATTGTGGAAGGAAATTATTTGCCTGAGCAAAAATTCAATGTGGATGAAACTGGATTATTGTGGAAGTGCATGCCTGAGCGGACATACATCCACAAAGAGGCAAAAACAATGCCAGGATTCAAGGCATTCAAGGACAGGATTCAAGGCACTCAAGGACAGGATTACACTTCTGTTGGAGGGGAATGTTGCTGATTTCAAGATCAAGCCCTTCATGATCTATCATTCAGAGAACCCCAAGGCTTTTAAACATGTCAGCAAGCACACACTGCCAGTGTTTTATCGCAGTAACAAGGAAACCTGGATGACCCTTGTACTGTTTGAGGATTGGTTCATGAATTGTTTCATTCCTTGAACCAAGGAGTATTGTCTGCAACAAGGGATTGCATTCAAGATTTTGTTAATTTTGGATAATGCTCCGGGACACCCACCACACCTGGACGACATGCACCCTTATGTTAAGGTAGTGTACATTCCACCTTACACTACCTCTGTCATCCAACACATGGATCAAGGTGCTATTGCTGCCTTTAAAGCAAATTACTGTACGTATTTACGTACGACCTTCACTCAGGCTGTTGCTGCTACTGAAGGTGAGAAAATACTCAGAGTTTTGGAAGGAGTACAACATTTTGTCATGAATAAAGAACATTATTGCAGCATGGGATCAGGTTACACAACAGTGCATGAATGGAATATGGAAGAAAACACTGAAAAGATATGTGAACAGTTTCAGAGGATTTAATGAAAATGAAGTTATTTCTGAGATTAGTAACAACATAGTGGAGTTAGGTAAACAGCTTCAGTTAGAAATTGATGTTGAAGAGTTGGTTGAAAGTGTAGCAGAAAAGCTAAGTAACGAGGATCTTATCGAACTGGAAACACACAAAAATGCAGAGGAAGAAGCGAGTCGAAATGTAGAAGAAGGACCTGCACCCCTCAAAAAAATTTTCAGTGAAGCAAATGGCAGAGGCATTTGCTACAATAAATAAGGGGATGCAAATGTTTGAAGGAAAGGATCAAAATGTTGAGCGTTATGCCAAAGTTGACAGAATGGTCCAAGAGTCACTAGCTTGCTACAGGGATATTTATAATGAAAAAAAAAGCAAACTGTGCAGTCTAAATTGGACATCTATTTTAATTAGTCCCCCATTGCTGTCTCCTCACGCCCCACCAGTGCTGCCTCTTCACTCCCTCAAGATGATCCAATACCTTCAACCAGCAAGTTTCCCCTGTACATAAACCTGTCTGAAGAAAGCGACATTGATGACCCACCCAGCCCTGTCTCCTCCTCTGCTTCATCCAATTAATATAGTCTCCATGTATACCTGTAAATAGAAAATTATGGGGCCCCATGTGCATTCAGCTGACTACATTAAAGGTAAGTGCTCAGTCACACTGTATCCATTCCTCATTATTTTTACTTTTACTGTACTGTATTTCATTGTAGATTTTATGTTTTATTTTATTTTTTTTTTCTATGTTCGACTTACGACCTGGATTTGGGTCTCAAACCCCGTCGTAAGTCGGGGAGCAGCACAGTCTCTCCGACGACCAGGTCGTAAGTCGAAAATGCGAAAATAATACAAAGAAATTCTAAAATGAAATACAGTACAGTAAAAGTAATCAATAATGAAAAATGAATAAAGTGTTACTGTGCACTTACCTTTAATGTAGTCAGCTGAATGCACACGGGGCCCCAATAATTTTTTAATTAAACATGGAGACTACATTAATTGGATGAAGCAGAGGAGAAGACAGGGCTGGGTGGGTCATCAATTTCGCTTTCTTCAGACAGGCTAACATACTTGTTTGTTGAAGGTATTGGATCATCTTTAGGGAGTGAAGAGGCAGCAGTGGTGGGGTATGAGGAGGCAGCAGTGGGGGAACTTCTTAAAATATACTGTATGTACAATTTAGACTGCACAGTTTGCCTTTTCTTTTCATTGTAAATCTCCCTGTAGCAAGCAAGTGCATCTTGGATCAGTCTGTCAACTTTTGCAAAACGCTCAAAATTTTTATCCATTTCTTCAAACATTTGCATCCCCTTATTAATAGTAGCAAATGCCTCTGCCTAGTCCTTCAAAATTGTTGATATCGTTGAGTGAGAGAAGCCAAGGTCACGTGAAATGGTTGCTACCCTTTTTCCATTTTCATATTGCATTATTATTTTCATTTTCATCTCAAAAGTAATTGACTGTCTCCTTTTCTTATCAGCACCACCAGAACTCTCACTTTTATGCTTGCCAGCCATTTTAACCGGAAGTAGAAACAAAAATTTTGTCAGTACACAGAGCGAACACTAACACCAACGACAGCCAAACACCAACTGATCGGGCTACGGCGTGAATGCTGTACACCAAGAGGCGGCCCAGCCCACGCTACGCTGTCGTACGGGACGGAAACGTTTCGGTACTAGTAAATACGTAATTTGAAAAATATTTTATACAACTACGGCGGTCGTATGTCTGGGTTGTCGTAAGTCGAGGAGTACCTGTATATGTACAAAGCAGTGCTAGGGTGTTGCTGTGTGGTGAGGAGCTTGTTGAGAGGAGGTCTTGTCTGTTTGAGAGCGTTGAGTAGAATGACCATCACGGCGAGGCTGGGGGTATTTATACGATTCTGCCGGATCAGCTCGAGAGGTGTGAAGTGAGCGGCGCTGCTGATTGGCTGAGGTGAAGGCGGTAATGGGCCAATCACCGCGCAGTCCGAAAGTGAGGCCCATCACATTCGGAAGTCGCTGCTGGTTGGCTGGTAAGCGGACAGCAAGTGATCAATCGGCAGTTGTAGGGGAGAGTATCCACTACAAGTTGTCCTCCCTCCCTCCTCCGCCAACCCCTCACTGACGCACCCAAATGTAGTTTTGTATCTTAATAATATTCATATTTTATTCCTATAATTCATTAATCCCAATATATTTCATAATATATTCCCATAATAATAATCTACTTTTTGAAACCGGTCGGTAATTTCAGATTCATTCCGAATTCAAACATTTTATTCATTAAAAAAAATGAATTATGCCAAAATCCAAATTAAAAAGGGTACAGTGTACTGTATATTACTTTGATCATTATTCACGACATCTTCAGCTCATGAGACCCACTGACACCCACCCCAACAATGGGTGACCTCATATTACACGAGAGAATGAGGAGATATTTACTTTTTTCCACAAACAATGATTCTTTCTTATCTCTATTTTCTATTTAGTCTTTATTTGCTCTATTTCTTTCTTTCTATTGTTCTTTTTATTTTGTTACATGATTTCTCATACCTTATATCTTATTCTTATTTACTTAAACAATCATGGAGGTTATAGAGTGGAGTAAAGGCAGGGTGTGGTGGTGGTGGGAGGGAGGGTTGATACGATAACCCCTACACCCGAGTCATCGAGGGAGGTAATGAATGGCTCCTTAGTACACAGTGACCCCAGAACCCCCTCTTGATAAAAGTCCAGACAATCGGCAAGTCCGGACTCCTTTTCCCCCAAATTGTTTTGATTTTCGAGGGTTTACCATACGTATCTTGAAAAATAGAGGAAGCAAAGATAAAACACAAACCAATCACTCAGATGATCAATAAAAGTGGTCACTATAGGAATATGGACACTGAAATACTGCAATTATGAGTTGTCCACACACACACAAGGCAGACCACTACTATATCTCCTGTTGATCTTACCATCTGAGCTAAAATGCTTGATAGAATGAACTTTAAGAATAAAATTGTAACTACTGCAGTACCTTGGTGAGGAGCTAATGAGGAAGAGATGCTGCATCTTGGTTGTGGACAGCTTGGCCACTACTGACTTGACCTGTGATAGCATTACTCTCACTTGATCTGCTGTGTGATCTTGGACAGACAGAGGTGCATTAGTAAACTGGTTGAAGGAGAATACAGATCCTTCGGTCTCTAACTCTGAGAGTCGCTGTCCTAGGAACCCCTCAAGCTGCAAAAAGAAAAAAGATTTAAAATGCTGTACAGAAACAGTTACATTCTTGTTTTTATTAAAATTTGTTAGTTGAAAAAAGTTAAAACACTTTGTGCATAAAATAAGAGATAATGGATATGAATATTATTGACAAATCAATTTAAAGGGTAAAGGAAATTTACAAAGAATTATAGTAAAATGCAGAGTTGTAAAAAGTACTGGACTTTGTTACTTAATTAAAAGTATTGTTACATTAGCAAAATGTTACTCAAGTAGAAGTAAAAGTATCAAAATCTTAATGTACTCAAATAGAAGTAAAAAAGTATCTCAATCTTAAAGTACTCAAGTAATGAAAGTAAAAACTAACAACAAATTATTATTTGTCTCAAATATTAAAATAAATCCACAGTAAATTATAAAAAAGGGTTATCAAGTTTATTTTCAAATCTTTCTATTAAGATTAATCAATAACTGATTATCAATAATATGGCTGTCTTTTAGGCCTAAATATAAGCCCAGCAGGACCTACTGAAAGAGAATACTCGTAGGTTCAGCCGCTCTTCTCCCTACAGTCCATATCAGGGATGGTGAACGGGCTGAAAATATATCCAGCCAACACTATGATCTCTTTCTTCATTGTCCACAAGTATCGTCGACGTGAACTTTTGGTCCGCAGACATGTTGTCTGCTCGCCTTAGGTTAGGATACAGACTTATCTGGCAAGTACCTGAGGCAGGGAATGACCTGCACTTCTCTTCCTGTAAACTCTGTAACTGTCCCAACATTAACATCCTTCAACATTATTGTCTTGACTGTCCCACTGTCAGGGACCTCCTACCACAGGGAGAATCACTAACTACTGTATATCACCACCTACTTATTCATAATAATTTAGATCTAATTATTGTCCACTACCCACACTTTGGTGGGCGCTAACTCCCATTGTCATTAAATCATATCAATATTGTCACCATATCGCAAGTCACAGCGTGTCCTGCAAGACACGAGTACCAATGTATTAGTGTCCGACCGCATAGTCTTGTGACTAGGGTTGTTCCCTTTAGAGTGTACTCTACATTGGAGCGCATGGAGGAGCACCACACGAGGCAGACAAGCGGCAACACCGGAAAGAAGCTTCCACCGCCCCTCCCGCACTAGATGTAGCCCTCCACATGTGCAACATCCGTGAACGACTCTGCGGATCCCGTATCGGCCTCTTTAGCCACCTCAAAACTCATCAACCTAGGTGACATCCCTAATAATTCATTTCATTGTATCATGGCTAGATGATCGTCATGCTCGATTTCGATTGACAGCAAAGTAGTAGCAGTAGTAATTAATCAATTAAATAATTATTAATATGCCCAACATGAATTAACAGATGCGCAAAAGCAGCACATGCAGGTAGTGGGGTGTTAAGCTTTAAAGGTACATCACATAATGTCGGGAAAGACCTCAGTAGCTCCGCTCCATTTCACCCCCTTGGGCCCAAGGCACTCCAAGTAACTATCAAGTTCCTTCAGTTGAGGAGTTTGTTGATGATTGTTGCCTCCATAGTGACTAAGTCTGACTAAGACTCAGTGTGAATTGTTCCTCTAATTGGGGTGTGGCTGTGGACACGTCACTTTTTTATTCTAATTAATGAGTGGCTGGGGGTGGGCAGTAGTACTGAGTTATTTAAGCAGAATTTTAAATACTCTTAGTCACACACATTTCTATAGATACTGTACAGGCTTTATATCTAAGGCAGAATTATGTAAAGCATTTTAGAATCACAGCCTCTTTGAAATTCATTTTAGGTACAGGTATATGCAAAGAGCAACTGACGTCTCACAGGAAGACCAAGCCCCTGAAGGAAAGGGGGGGGAGAAGAGAGGAGATTTGATGGGGGAGGAGGGATAAGAGGGTAGGCTGGGTGAGGTGGGTGGTCAAGGTGCTAATGGACACAAGATGATCACAGGAAAAGACCGCTGTCATGGGAACTGCCACCTGACCTGAAGTCACCATGTGACCGCGTGGTGTCTCTCCACACCCGCACCGTACCCTTCACTGCTCCACCAACACCATACCCGCCACCCATACAATTCTTTTATTATAGTTAATAATTAATTCATTAAAATATATATATATTTTAATTTGCCACGGACATTACAACTCTTTGTTTGTTTGTTTGGGTCATGTAGCAAGTTATGATTTTTGTTTTTTCAATTGTATTGGAGTAAAATTATTGGAAAACCTTACTTAAGTAAAAGTAACAAATTTTGGTACTTTTTAAAAAGTAGATACCAAAAAATGTTACTTAAGTACAGTACTCGAGTAAATTTACTTTGTTACTTTACAACTCTGGTACAGGTTGTACCTCTCTAGTCCGGCATTCTGTGGTCCAGAAACTCCCGTGGTCCGGAACGATTTTAGTTTGTCCAATAGGTAGATAGGCAGCTCTTTTTTTTTTTTTATCTGAATTATTATTATTATTACAGGAGTATTAAATTTTTGCCCCTCAGGCCCCAATGTGGGTCAGTGACCTATGCCCGGGTGGGCTAATCCCCTTAAAAAAAAAAAAGCCGCGGGAAATTAAGGTTTGTTTACATCCGGCAGTTCGGCTGCTCTCTCTCTCTCTGCTTGTCTATACAGAGTACAACATTTAACCCTTCAATATATATGAGCAGTAAATAAGTGTTGCTTTCATATTCTTATGTAGAGTAATGACGATATATTTTCACATGTGCGCACTTACATACGAGCAGTCTCACTTTTTTTTTTACCATTAATGGTTAGCTACTTATATTGTTCCATTTATTAACATTAAATAACATTACAGGTACTTCAAGCAACCATATTCATATTTTACATTAATTTTACTACAGCTAAACTCAGGGTCTTATTTTCTTCAGTTTTATATGTAGAACCAGTCAGTCACTGGTTTTGTAATCAACGAAAACAATGCTGTGTCATTTCCTCATGTGTTTTAATTTTCTACGTATTATTAATGAATTGTATTGCTCATTTTGCACACATAAACATTAATTCAATAAAAAAGACATTCAGTAATAAACAATAATGAATCTTTTGTACATAAGAGAAATGACGCTGTTTACACGATTATGCACGTCGTCTGCACGTTGGCGGGCCGTTCAAACCCGTCGAAATTCAAGTTTCCGCCGTCAAAATTTTTATTTATTTATTTTTTTGTGTGTTCCAATAAAATACGTTAAGAATTAAAAACTCGCGAAATTTGAGAAGCTACTATACGACATTTAACCCTTCAATATGTCTTCAAAGAGACCATGATGCAGAGAAAGTGGTGCTAGTGCTTCCAAGCATAAGCACAAGTCACTATCTATCCAGGAAAAGGGTGAATTTCCATGGTCCGGCACCGGTCAGGTCCCGAGGTTGCCGGACTAGAGAGGTACAACCTGTACCACCTGAGATCCCTCGCCCGAGAATTGCTGTTCGACACCACAACCGCATCCAGCCCATACGAGCATGAACTGATCGCCATAAGAACAGCCCAATCCCAACCATTGTAAAAATTATCAATAACTTGTAATAAAACAGTGTATTCGCTCCCAGTAAATCCTACTTCTTGCACTGTCACTATGCTGAAATGCCCTGTAGTTTGAGCTTTTCCCCACCTAGTTATTATATATATTATATATCTTATTTGTCACTTATGTTACTCGTATATTATTTGTAAATCGAAAACCATTCCCCAATTATGTAACTGTATATTTTCAGCCTTCCGGCTGCTATGCTCTTTCAATAATCCGTTAATTATTATTATTATTATCACATGCACTCACGCACGCGCGCACACACACAAAACAAGGGAATAAAGACAACAAGAATGAGGAGTGAGGGTTTTTTGTATGACAAATTTGCATGTGTGTGACTGCGTGGTAGTGGGTTAAATATCAGCTGTTGAGGAGTGCTTGGCAACACTCCTTTCCACTCCATCTCTCTAATTACTCACACCTTTCTGCTTTCTCACTCCATTTTTTAAAATGGTATGTACTTGTAACAATGTTGAAGGGATACAACTGTGCTCATTTATACAGTACAATATGCCCGGATAATTCGCAGATTTTTATTTCATGGTCCTCTATTATTCGTGGATGACACCTTGGACGTACCCAAGAATGTCTGCGGTAGTTTTAAAGTTGCCGGCATTTTTGAAGCTGGGACAGGGAGCCATTCATTCTAGAGACAGTAATTTCCTTTACCTGTATTGTATATAAGTATGTGTAACTAATAATAGGAAAACCCTCTCACAAATAATCAGAAACAAATTCAATAAAAATGTGAGTCTCCCCTCAAGTCTACTCCATGCTTTATTAAAAACAAAGCACGGAGTGGACTTGAGGGTAGACTCAACATTTTTAATAAATTTGATTCCGATTATTTGTGAGAGGATTTTCCCATTACAGTATTATTTATTTGTATGTGGTTTATGTGCGAGTGTTTGTGTCTACACACACACATACAGTATATACAATAGAGGTAAAAGAAATAATTGTCCTAAGGGCAAACACATAAGGGAGTATACATTTCTTTGTATGCAAGTAAAATTGTACCCCCCCCCCCACCCATGGTCAGCAAATGTTATTCGCAGATTTGGCGATTAGCAGCCATTTTGAGAACCTAACCCCCGCAAATTTGAAGGGTAGGCTGTATTTATACTTATCACATCTCCCTACAAATACTTTAGGTTTCATGTTTACTCAAGACACTTCAGGTCATGAGACCCACAGCTCTATGGGAGTGGAAAACAACAGTCTTTACTGTAACACACAGCTTCATTCACGCCCATATCATATAGATTTTTAATTTTTAAATATACAGGGTATTTATTTTACCAAACTTTTAGATACACTTTTCTGGATTATTATAGTAAAGTAATGGTGTTTCTAACTTAATTAGAAGACTCCAGTAGTTTAAACTCAAGGTAAACATCCCCAGCACCCAGATACATTCTGGGGAAGTGGGCTAGTGTTTGTGTGTGCAAGATGTCTAGTTTA